ACATATTTCCCTGGGTCCCTCCTGCTAGTACCTCCTAATTTTATGCCAATAGAAGCGTGATGCTCGATATGGCAACTTCAGTCTGCCTAAGACTATTACGACTCACTTTGTGGCCAGAAGCATATACTTCCCAGAAGATATTCTGTGTTCTTTGCTTATTCTTCTGTTGTGGGATAAAATGTTCTGAAGATGAATGTTAACTCATTTCATCCTAAAAGGTAGCTCACATTCAACGTGCTTTATTATTTATCTACATTCTTTCATAATTCTACATAATTTCATTTTAAACTTCTAATATCATAATCATGGTAGCTATATTAATTTTCTTCCTCGCTAGCTATTGTTTTCCTTAGCATAGCGTCCTCAGAGCTGGGGACCTCTCTGCTGATATCAGCATCTGTGCCCCCTTCCCTTCAGCTCTGCTGCTCTCTCCTTTGCATTTTCCGTGCTCTGATGTCTGGTGCACATATATTTACAATGACCGCACACTTTTGATGCGTTTGTCCCTTTAGCATTGTATAGCAACCTTCCATGTTTCTCAGGAGAGATTCGTATTTAAAACCCAGCTGTTTTCCCAATGCCATATGGCTACCTGTGTTCTCCTTTGGTTGCTGTGTGAAGAGAAATCTTTTCCCCATTGCTCTCAGGGAATGTGTTTTTTAGACACATGTTTCAAAAACCTTTTCAGCCATGCTGTTTGGTTTTGTTCTGTTTGTTGGAGAATTTAGTTCATTTCCTTTCAAAGTGAATGCTGGTAGAGAAGAGCTTTTCCTTTGTTCTTCTCTTTCTCTTATCAATATGTTCCAGTGATTTACTTTAATGCTGCATTCCATTTCTTTGTCTTTATATCTTAGGTAGGTAATACAGATTCTTCTCTGTAGTAATCACGAGAATTACACAAAACACCTTTGCTATTATTTTTTAGTTTCCTTTTAAAATGTGTGTGTATGTATGTATGTATGTATGTATGTATGCACGGATGCATGATTTGGGGGCGTGCCTACATCACAGCCTACATGTGGAGGTTAGGGGAGAGCTTGCAGGAATCAATTCTCTCATCCCATCACATAGGGCCTGGGTATCAAACGTATCTCGTCAGACTTCATGGCAGGCACCTTCACTCACGGAGTCAGCTCACTACTCTGGTTATTTATTTGTTTATTTAGACATTCATGCTACATCACCCGGGGTAACCTTGAACTCTTAAGTTCAAGCGATCCTTCTGCATCCTACTTCCCAAATGCTGAGATTGGAAGCATGTACTACCACGGCCAGTATAAAACATAACTACAGCAATCTGTTTTAACCTTGGGATAGCTTAATTCAGCCCTATGTAAAAATCTGGCATATTCAGTTCTGCATCGCATTTTATTTATAATGTTATTTAATTTACTTTTAAAGAGTTTTATTTTTAATCTATGTGTATGAACATTTTACCTGTATGTGTGCCTGTGACCCATGTCCACACGGTACCTGTGGAGGCCTAAAGAAAGTGTCAGTTGCCCTGGAACAGGAGTTGGAGACAGTTGGGAGTTGCCATTTCAGTGCTGAGAACTGAACCTGGGGGCTCTGAAGGAGCAGCCAGTAGCTCTTAACTGCTGAGCCGTCTCTCCAGCCCAGTGATGCTATTTTTATATATGTTTCCATTACCAGGGCTTGTAGTTTAGTTTCATTTTGAGTTCTTTCATTTTACTCTCTATGCAGTAGCTTAGAGAATCCTATGTCTGACTACATACTGTTTCTTAGAGAGCTTTATTCTCTCTAGACATGCTGTGGCCAAACCAATACAGCTAATCAGTTTTGGACATAAACCTCTACTATCTGCTAAATCAGAGGGAAAAAAAATACCAGCAGCCAGTCAATTTTTACGAAGCAAAATGCTTGATTTTTCATAGTATACTGCATAGTGAGTGCCCTCAAAGGGGAACTAAAATGCCATCTACCACTGCCTCTCCTGTGATGCCAGCTGACTGTGAGTTCTCCAAGTGCCACCTAGTGAGGAAGCTCAGAGGCCACTGCATGTAGCAAGGGAAAGGCAACTCTCTAGGAGGTTACAAGTCTCTTCTTTGCTAAATGAAATAACGCAACTACCTTGAAAGCCTTCGGAAATCCTTGCTTTGGTCTTTGTGTCATGTATATTCCAGACCAATGAAAAAAAAATGCTTGGGGGTCGGGGGAGAGGAAGAAGAGGAGAGAATAAGAAAGAGAAAGGGAAAAGGAAAGAGCTTCCCTTGAGCTTGAGGCTTAGGGAATCCCTCGCTGGTGTCGCTAGATGTGCAACAGCAGAAGCAGGCTTTGGTTTAGAGAAAGAAAATCACTGTCTTAGAAGCTCATTCAGAGATCAGTTCTTCTACTATCATGAAGTAGCTGCAGTTCTGCTAAGAGCTGGCATGCAAAAAGCAAAAGGCTGAAAGAGAATGCAACCTATTGGTGGGGGGCAGACTAAACTCAAAAGTTAAGGCGCATTGATTCCATTTTGCTCTAGGTGAGTCTCTTTAAGAATACATATTCAGAGCTAGGAAACCTCACGATGAACAAAAACAGGAAGAGCCCACCCATTTCTAAGGACTGTTCCAAGGACTATTGGTGTGCCTCCTCTTGTTTGTTTTCCTCCCTGCATTCTTGTATGGCTGCATTGGAGGTGCTTTTTACACCTTGTTTTTCCGTATAATCGGGGTGTTCAGTGCTTTACTGATGTATGCACAATAGATTGTGAAAATCATTTTGCACACAGTGTGTAATAATCAAAGCAAGGGGGTTCTAATTCCTTCTGTGTTAGCATTCTATTACTGCAATACACCGCTGAGAGAATAAACTTGCAGAGAGGGAAGTTTCATTGCTGCTGATCAGTCCCATTATTGATCCTTTCTGCTGCTTTGAGGTTGTGATGCAGCCCACCAAAGCCTGGGGAGGGGGTGCTTTGGCACACCTCACCTTATGGTCAGAATGCAAACTGAGGCACAGACGGACAAAGCCCCTTCCCACGATGGTCCAATGACATCTTACTGGGCCTTGTCTCCTAAAGACTCTACCAATGGGCCCTCCATGGAGACTGACTATTTGGTAGAACAATTAACATCAAAACCATCATACCACTTCTTGGACGTGTATAACTGCCTTTGTGTTGGGACTCTCCTCTAGATATTTACAAATTATGGAGTGAATCGTTCTTTGCTGCCACTATAGGGTACTAGACTCTTGTAGACCTCCATTATGCAAAGAAACACATGTGCTCATGATAGAGAATGCTTAAAGGGGGATATGAAGAAATCAAAATCTAATAACACATTTAAATTACCCCAAACAAAGTGCATTAAATTATGAAGCTGCCTATGACCCTGACTTGAGATACCTTCTTATAATGGAGAAAGCCCCATTTCAAATAGGTCTATGGGTACAAAGTGAAGAGCAAAAGATGTCTCCTTTAACCCTCTCTGTGTCATCCCTTCATGACTTCTATTGATACTTGATTGGATGTGTTTGCCAGGAGCTGATGCAGAGGTCATGGAAGAGTTCTGCTTACTGGCTTGCTGCCCATGGCTTGCTCAGTCTGCTCTCTTATAGAACCTTAGGCCTCCATTGTGGCACCACCCACAATGGGTTGAGTCCTTCCCACGTCAACCATTAATTAAGAAAATGTCCGGCAGCTGGATACTTATGGAGGAATTTTCTCAACTGAGGTTCCCCTCTCTCAGATAACTCTAGCTTGTGTCAAGCTGACATAAAATTAACCAGCATAGCTCATCTCAGACTTGCTGTGCAGCCCAGACTGGCCTTGGTCTTCAATTCTCCTGTCTTGACCTCTCAAGTGCTGAGACTACAGGCCTGTGCCTACATGGCCAACTTGTTTTTGCTTTATGACTTAATAGTTTGTATTAAGTGGTTGAAAACCTCAAGAGCAAGAATCCCAGATAGCAAAGTAGAAGTTATATCCACTTTTCTGATCTACCCTCCAATCACTATTAGCTCTTAAACAAACAAACAAAAAAAATTTGCCCAGATCCCAAAGGAAACATAGACCTTTCCATGGAAAAACTTAAAGTCATATGAAATAGCAACCCCTGTTCCACCTGGTTTTGAAAAACAGAATCTGTAGACTTAAAATGTTTGAATAAATTTATGGCATTTGAGCTGATGGCTTCACTGTTCTGTGCCCTTGGAAAATACAGTTACTGCACATGGCTACCTTGGCAAGAGAGACAGCTCAGTAGATAAAGGTACTCAGCACTAAACCCAGAGTCTTGGGTTTGATTCCAGGAGCCTACATAACAGAAGGCGAGAACCACCTTCTACCAGTTGTCTTCTGACTTCCTATCTGCCTACTGTGTTACCCACACAACCCCACGTACCCACCCCCACTAAAGCAATGTACATTGCAAAATTAATCAATAAAAATGACTGCCCTGTTTCTTGTTTGATTTGTATGTTTTTAAACCCAGTAACACTGAACAGATACCATCTTTATTAACCCAAGTTTCTTTTCCTGGTATCCGGCTTCCTATAAATTTTTCTGTTCAGGACCTTTTAGAAAGTGAAGAAAATGGAGCCTTTCATTGTGCACCGTCAGTGTGGTTCTGGCCCTGCTCTTCCTCTGACTTTCTGGGTGGCTTTGACACACTGAAATTGTCTAATTTGATTCCAGTCACATTATCAGTATTTTCCTCTATGCCTTGGGGTTCACATACTGATGTATTACGCCACCCTTGTTCTATTGTCACTTTTCATATTCCTTGAATTTTTTTTCCCCCTGGAGTTTGATCATTTGACCTTCTAATCCACTTGGTGTGTTTTATGTGTCTTATGATATTGAACAAACCTCACGTTCCCCCTAGTCAATGTAATAGTGTTTATGTATTGTTGGATTGTAGCTGCTGACAGTTTTCAAAACATTCAAGGTTTTCCTCCAATGGAGATTTCTCCCAAAGAGCTCACCTTGGTGACTGTATCTAATTCAACCAAACCCATTTTTAAATTGTATTTCTGCTTGTCTCCTTCATGTCTTGAGTTTCCAACTCTGGTTTGTGCTCTTCTAAATAATTCCTAAATACACCGTGCTCTTGGATGAGAGCACTGAGCTGTGATCTGTGCTGTGCGCCTGTGGTTCTGGAATCCTTTCCTTCTTCTAGAGACACTGCGCTACTATAACTCTGCATTGGTTCTGTATCAGTAATCTCTCCTGTGGCAGCTCATCCTCCCGGGCTCTAGAAAAGGCTGGGTGGTTTTCCTCACTTGGCAGAGCTCCCTCTGCTGCTGATTTGGGGAAGTGCCGGGCAATGCTGCCACTTCTCTCAGTTGCCCACCGGACAGATTTCCTTTCCCTGGTCTCTTTTGTTTCTACACTTCTCAGATTCGATCCCACTTTGAGCAGTTTTCGTATGGCATGGAGCCCTCTCCCAAGGGAGCTTTGGCTTGTTGATAGGACGTTTCTCCTGTAGTAACACTATTGCAAGCCCCCTTGGCACTCACAGAGGCCCTCTCCCACCGGCCCACTATTTCAATGGGCAGAAGCCAAGCCATCCCGAATGAACTGCTACTCTGCCTGGCTTTCCATTGACATCTTGGATGTTTGAGTTCTTTTGTCTTCAGGGCTGCCTGCTTTCCTTTGTTCTCTCCTGGGTGTTTCTCTTCCTTTGTTTCAGCAATTATTGAAACTTAAAACGTTTTAGAAAACCTTACAGTTTGTATATATTTTAACCTAATATATATATATGGTATATAAAATAGGCATGGGTGTAAGTAAAATGAATAGAAGCTGTTACAAAAAGAAAAAAAATGACAAAGGAAAACTGAAAGGGAGAACTGAAAATGGGAAATTCCTCTGAACCAGAAAGGACCATCCCTTATAAAAAGCTTTCTCGGGCCATGGAAGAAGAGCATTCTCGCTTGCAGCCTTGGGCAGTCTTTGCCTCATCTTGCAGGTAGCAGCCAGCATCAGCCCAGCTTCCAATCATGACTAACAGGTGGATCCTCCAAGCTGCGTTCCTGCTGGGGTTTCTCTCCATAGCCCTGTCCATCAACTACGAGGACCTTGGGCTCAGACAAAGCAGCACCAATTCAGCATGTCTGGAGCTCCTGGAACAGCTGGATGGACAGCTCTGCCTTGGCCACAGAATAAACTTCAAGATCCCTATGGACGTGAAGCGCCTAGGACAGGCGGAGAAGAAAGACGCCGTCATCTTCATCCGAGAAATGCTCCAGAATATCTTCATTGTCTTCAAAAACAATTCCTCCAGCACTGGGTGGAAGGAGAACATTGTTGAAAGCTTCTTGGGTAAACTCTATGATCAGATAGACTTTCTGAACAAAGTCCTAGAGGAAGTTCCAGCGAATGAAAGATGGACTCCGAGCAACTTCCCAACCAGTCTACGTTTGAAGAGCTATTACAGGAGGATGCAAAGCTTCCTTGAAGTCAAGGGGTACAGCAGCTGCGCCTGGATGGTGGTCCGAGCAGAAATCCTCAGGAACTTTTCCATCATCAGAAGACTTACTAATACATTCCAGATCTGAAGACCTGTGAGCTGATATCTCTGAGACTGGACAATGGTTGCAGGCGACCTTTAGGCGTCACAGTCTTGCCCTTGTGACTGGTCGTGAATGGACTGCATTTGAAAGGTCAAAGAAAGACTTGAAATTTTTATTAATTTATAAATTAAATTATTTTCTATTCTTTATTTAAGATTTTAACCTAAGAAAATAAAAAATATTTACAATATAAAAGTCAATGTGGCAATATAATTTCTACTGATTTCTTTAGCCACCTGTGTTAATAACCTTTGGGTGTGCTTTACAAGGTGTTCTCTGTATAGTGCTCCTAAAAAGCAGTGGAGTTTCTGGCTCCCGACTTTGAGAAATTTAAAAATCAATGGACTGCACGTGCATCACACAAGGTAAGAGATAGCGGGGGAGCTAAAGCTTCTAAGGAAATGATTGTGGGATTGAAAAGTGAAGTGGCAAGCAGGTGGTTTTGGAGCCAGAACCCGGTGCCCAGTGTTTCTACTCTATTCTTGGGGCTCTATGCTTATAAAGTTAGAACCTGGCTGGGCCTTGGGTAGCCAGAGGAACACATCAGTTGTTGTATTTGCCTAAAACACCTTTGCTGTCAGAGGAAAGATTTTCTCTAGTAGATTTATAAAATGTGAATGTGTCCATGCCTGTAACTGAGAAGCCCCGAGTAACTCCTGTCATTTATTAAATGTCTTTACCTTTCTCCTAATGGATTCTCAGGGAAGAGGGGGTATCTATCTATTCCCAGGGAAAGGTGTCAAAGAGAGAGAAGACCCTTTTTGAGCCCCAAAACCTGAGTAGTCTTGTCCTCCATTTACCTATCAAAGTCCTCTGCTCCTGGCCCTTCATTTGTCCTTCTGGCTTCCCTCTGCTCTGCAACTCTAGAGAGGCACACTCGCAGGGCCAAATCCAAGGTGTATGGCTCAAATCATGTCTGGTCTCTAAGTGAGAACAGAGAAAGCATAAGAGAAAGAGGTATTCAGGGGAGACGGAGGACAATAATGTCTCCCACTGTCCTAAGAAAAATTAAGCTTTTAAGGAACTCCTCTGATACTTGGCAGCTGGCTAGAGTTTTGTCCCTGTATCCAACCCTTGGGAACTTGGGTCTCTATGACCCTTAGCACCACATGCAGCAGCTGTGTCTTGCAAGACCCTGATGAAATGGGCCCGGTGTGGAGCATTTATGGGCACAATTGATTTGATATCTTCCACATAAGCCCCTTGGATGGAAATAATTTTGTTCCTTCATGTTCTAGGGCAGGCAGAAAACTAAGTCTCAAAAAGGTCTAGTAACTGCTCCAAGTTCTTGTTGCCAACAAGTGGAGATTTTTCTGGAGTCAGAGCAATATGAAAAGTCGTGGCAGTTATTACTGCATTGAGGTGTTTTCTCTGAGAGCATTTCAGAACTCTGAGAGCTTCATCTCAAAGAGTGAACTTTCAATAGAAGAGCTCTGTCCGGGGACAAATTACTACTGTGTTGAGAGCACAGGGCTCCCCTTCCTGACTCAAAGTGAGAGACCAAGAAGGATCATCACAATGAGTCCGCACCCGGGGGCCCAAACAGTGAAGTGCCCTGAAAACACAGTTCTTACTTCCTGCAATGTCACATCCCAACCTTCCCAGAAGTTCTTCTTCAACAAGGCTCTCTTCTGCCTGGAAGTCAAATACAAGTTCAAAATATAGAAATACGTAGGCTAACCAGTGTCTAGAGCAGCTGAGAGAATGGTGTATTCTCAGCAATGACTGTATTTGCTGTCTTCTCTGGACCATACAGATACACTGGGGGGAAATCTATTTCTGTGCAATTTAAAATACAGTCCAGGCTGAGCTTACTAGCTATCCAGAGTGCCAAGAGTATGTCCACCACTGTAAAAGGAGGCAATGATTTTGTTTTCCAGCTTCCCATTCCGAAAATAATCAATCAGAGACTTAATGTTATTTACAAACCATTTGGCCTATTGCTCCGGCTTATTACTAGTTAGCTCTTACAACTTAAATTAATCCATTTCTACTCATCTATATTTTTGCTATGTGGCCTCATAGCATTATCTGCTCTCCAGTACATCTTGTTGTGCCTGTGGATTGCTAGATGTGCCCCTGCCTCCACCCTTCTTCTCCCTGTATCCCTGCTTGGGTTTCCCACCTGGCTTTGCTACAGACCAAAGCAGCTTCTTTATTAACCAATGGTAACAAAACATATTCACAGCATGCAGTATCAGTGAAAATCCCCAAAAGAACCCTAACCTAAAGGGTGGCTTCTGCTGAGCCAAAGCAGGCAACTGTGTATGGAAGCTATGGTAAAGTAATATAATTTTAGCTGGCATCCGAACACTCACGAGGATAATGCTCTAGGAAAGTACCCATAGAGACTTAATATAAAAGAGTAGAGCTGGAAGCTTTAAGTATAGCAACACAAAGCCAGGAAAGCATCTAGGTGGTGCTGTTTCAGCTTCCTCAGCACGTTTGTGTCTGTGGGAATGGGACTTCAGTTCCTCAGTGCGGCTGTGTTAACAGGGAGGAGCTGCAGAGTCCCCATCTCTTGAAGACTTGGGTTCGGTCTTGTGGGAGTTCAGAACTGTCTGCTCGTGTGCACATCTCCCTTCTCTTCTGCTTTCCATTATGAGACTCAAGTCTGAGATGTGGCTGCCTAATCTAAAGCTGCCCAGCCTTCAGGACTGGGAGCCAAAAGAAACTTCTATTATTTGCAAATTACTTACTCTTGATTATGATGTGACAGGAACATAAAATGGCTTAAGATAACATGTTTGGGGTGTTAATTTGTTCTGAGAAGAAGAGAGACAGAGGAAACAACCCCTCAAATGTCCTGGACATATGATGCTCTCTGGAGTCAGTCAGACAACTTCCCGCTGGAGACACACCAGACTCTTCAGAACAGGCAGTCTCGCTCGAAACTTGACGTGGTGTGTACTGATGTCAGGACATTCTCTGTCAACCTCTTCAAACCTCCGGCATCCATTCAAACTGGGCATGGTGGCCAGCCACAGAGACATTGTGAGACCCTGTCTCAAAACAAAAGTGCTCAAAGCCCCGTTTGTGGAGAATTTTAATATATGAAGAACAGAAAGTATCCGGGGCCATTTGTCAAATAATATGGAGAAAAGACGGTAGTGGGGTGACCAGACAAGACTAAGCGATGACAGAGCACCGGTTTTTTCCTTGCCTTCTGCTACCTCGGGCCTCTGAGCAAAGCATCAAGACACTGATTCTAGAGAGGCTGATTAGCAGGGGAGCCTTCTCAAGCTCATGAGTATGATAGGGATCTTGAGAAGCAACAGGCTACATAGGAATAGGAGTGTTGCCTAGACACATGGCAGTGCAGGCATGTAGACATGGTAACACCTAAGTACATGTTTGTATTGCCTTTCCTGTAGTTAACAAAAATTGACATTTAGATATTTAAGTGGCATTAAGCCATTCTAGGTACCCAGACAACATCTGATTGTGTATTTACTCATAACATGCTTTAAGAAAATGAGGAGCGTGCCGTGGACTAAGTGAAAATATTTGCCGTATGTATTTTTAAATACTCTGAAAATACAATAGTCAGAAAACAGGCCAATAAAATGATTAATGTATATAAATGGTGCTTCCATCAAATAAGACACAATGGACTCAAGTAAGTACACGAAGAGGGTGAAGACATGCTTGAAGACTTGGGGCAGTCAGGCTATAAAGGAACGTGAAGTGGCCAGCTCCAGCACCAGGTCATGCTGTGGTCACTACCCATCTAACCACAGCTCCCTCATCTTGGCTGCACCTGGGTGTGAACCAAGAGAAATTTGCCTGGGAGAGACGACAAGGTCCTAACCATTTTGGGCTTCTGTCTTTCCTCTCTAGCTGTGAGAAAGGCAGAGGTAGCTAGAGCTGAGAGTAGATCGGAGCTACACTGTTGCCCACCATGGACATTTTCTCTAAATCTGTTACAATGTTCGTTGACCTGCGCAAAAGACCCTTTTCTAAATCCTTTTCGTCTCCAGGTTGTTTTTAAACCCTCCATTTAACTGTCTTAAATCCCCTAGAACTAACAGTTTTCAACAAACACCAGTACTGGACTAGAAGTGCCATACAGCTTTCTCCTAATTAATAAGATCAAGTTAATTAACTCATTAATTGGTTCAGTGAAGAGTACTCCAGAAACTGGTTCCCGCCAAACGGCTCTCTCCATTCAACACATTCTGTTTCAGTTGCTGTTGTTTGAAATCCCTGCTGGTTTGCAAATCCCTCTGTGAGTGCTCTTAGAATGGCCCCAAACACAGTTTAAATTATGTTTCCTCATAATTAACTAATTTAAAACAAATACAGTCCACTCCAAAATGAAAAGGCAGAACGGATTGAGAGAGTAGACCTTCCAGCCACATACAGCTGATAAATGACTCTCAGAACTCAATGGTTCAGAGCGGTTCCACAGAGAAACCCTGCCTAGAAAAAGCAATGAAACAAAAAAAACCTCAGTGATAAGAAAGAATTATGGCCCACTAAAAGATGAGCAAACTTTTGAACCACTGCTTCACCCAAAGAGACACTTGACAAGTAGAGCAAGAGGTTGTGAAGGCCTGAGCAGGCTTAGTAAATTCAACTTAATCCGTAGTAGGCACCACTACAGAGTTCTTATTATGGCCAAGGTTGAAAGAAGAATCAAGCATTGGCAAAAATATGTAGTAACTGCAATTCTCATTCCCTGTCCCTCAAACGAAAACCCCAAGCTGCTTTGGAAAGTCATTTTCAAGTTTGTTAAAAAGGCAAAACATACCAAAGATGTGATTCAAAAAGTCCACTCCCAAATACATACTGTATCCATACAGAGACTTGTATATAAATATTCTAGGGGTTTTATAATAGTCTGAAATTAAGGATGAACAAACCACATATCACAAATGGGAGAATAAATAGATCCACACAGTGAAATGCTTCTTAGCAGTAAAAATGAAATAGAATGAAGGCCTGAATCACCAATAAATGCAGCCACATTAAGGAATCTCTAAAGGATCATGTTGGGTGTAGAGTATAAAAAGGTGGTTGAATGACCAAGGAAGTTAGGACCACGAGGGGTGCGCCCACCCACTGAGACAGTGGGGCT